ACTCACATGTGGAAGAACATGCACAAAAACGCATATGGAAAAAATCAGGTCTGTGTACTTCACATGCACATTGAAGCTCTGGTGCGCACACAGCCCAAGAACCAGAAAACAAAAATGCCAAACCTAGTGATACTCAATGTTCTCGGTATTAAAAAAGAGAGAGAGGTAGCTTTAATAAACAACAGTAAATTCCCAATTTATGTTGTCTGATCAGTAAAACAGCAGTAATAGGTGCAGGCTCAAGGAAGGTGTAATGAGTATGGGGTTGCTCGTGCGTAAGCTGCCGCCTCTCCAGGCTAAATTGCCTTGTTAAACCTTTCTGTCTGGACAGCCCTTCTCTTCGTGGCTGCCTCAGTCGCTAGCAGAATCCGCCAGTGGGCGTTTCTTAAACCTTTTCCAACATAAAAGTTGTTTGACGCCCAGTCTCCTCCTACTCTCCCTGCGCGGAAGTCTTCTGCGCAGGGAGGGCGTGGGTAGCAGAGGACCTGTGCTCTTCCCGCTGGTGTCCAGTGAAGAGTCCTGGAGCCCTCTCGCCGATTCCCCCATCTGCCCCCCTTTATCCCTGGTGTTGCGCTGATTTGCTTCCCCCTCTGCTGAGCTGCCTCTCTCCTTGCTGGGCCCTTCTCCAGCATCATTTGAGAGCCTTTCCTCCGCCTCTAGCTCCGATGTCAGTTCCCTGACAGAAGGTCTCCCTTGGATTTTATTGGTTTTATATAGTTTCAATTATTATTGTATTTGGATATTATTGGATATTATATTAAAAAGGGGATGGTTAGACCAAAAGCAACCACAATATGTACCGTAATATAAAACGTTCAATGTTATAAGCATAAATTTGCACGCTAAACCACAGTGAAGTATGATGTGACTCCCATTCTTTCCTCTTCTCCAATGAAGTCAAAAGACGAGTTTGGAAGCTTTTGGTTAACTTCCAGCAAAGGGGGGAGGTGTGCACCAGTGACTTGAACTCGCAGATCCAAAAGAAGAACAAAGAAGGGAACTAACTGCCTTTCTCTCTGAAAAATCAAGCTGAAAACAATGTGCTGGAAATGGAAAATCCCAATACATTTAGCAGTACTCTGTCCTATTTGGCACTCCAAAATATGTAGCAGCCAAAACATTAATTCTAATGAGAACAGAATTACCACAAACACAAGTGGTGTGAAGGCACAGATGGCAAGCAAGCAATGCTAAATTGGAAGAAGTAACTGTGATAGTAAGACTTGAAGCCAAAGCAATGCTGTTGTAATTCAAGGAGAGCACTCCGTTCCAAAATTCAGAATTGGAAAGGTGCAGGAAAGAATTATTTAGAACAGCTAAATGCAGTATAATCAACCTGACAGGCCATAGGGCAGCCATGTGCCCTACTTTATAGGAGGAAAATACTGAGCTGTCCAGTCCAAGCCTGGTTTGAAGATTAAGAACCATAAGAACATAGAGGAGCAGCTGTGAAGTTTATTTTCTTTTTCGGTAATGCACTTCCTCTTTTTTTGCCTAAGTGAAAGTGGCTACCATAGGACCCAAACATATCGAAAGGATGCTTGGGCCATAATTGTTATCTGCCAAGAGTAACAAAATGGTCAGGGTACTTCTAAAATAAACTGAAACTTTCATATGGGTACATTCTACAACAGTGGGAATTTAAGTATGAAAAACAGAAAATAAATCTTCAGGCTGAATGGGAGGTGAAACTGAATGGGAGCTAGTTTGCTCAGGTTTTCCTATTTTCTGTTTCTGGATTGACCTCTGTGCTGGGATGCAATGCACTAACTCAAATGCCATGCACAAAGATAAAAGGTGCAAAATAATTAAGCAATACTGTTAGGCCCTACAAATCTTTGCTCTGCTAGCACTTGCTATCCTACTTACCCTGAAAAATCTCACAGTGTTTGCTTTGAGCATTGGCATTCTGTATGGCATGCTGAGCCAGTGCTCAGCATTTTAAAGTACTCCATACTTAGGGTTTCCTCTTCATCTTGTTTTAAACAAGCAGGCACTATTTACAAAGCAAGTTGTTGCACTGGAGATGTCAGTGCACCACAGAAGAGGCCAAGCTGAGAGTGGATTGACAAAAGGCCATCTCCCTCATGTCACAATCACCTAAACTCATCCCAGCTTCCCATTTATTTAAACATTATGTGGGTGAAGTCAGAAGTTGATGTGCTGAAGCAGAATAAACCAGCCCAGGCAAGCAGACTCTTTCCTTGCTATTGCATACCAGTGTGAGCAGCAGAAACCAGGTGCATTTGACAGAAATTATATGGGTCCAGGTTCATGTGGCTAACCTTCCCCCCCCCATCCCACCGTCACATCTTCCTGTTCATGGCCAAGTTTGCAAATGGACAAAGCACTCACACACCTTGTGGCCAAGAGCAGCAGATTACTGGCAGTAGCTACATAGTGTGAGGGCCAAGCAATATTAGGAAAAGAGTAGACATCCCATTCATCAAAATAAAAAGTGACAGGTGCTTTCAGCCTTTCCATCAAAAGGGTCGTTCTTTAGGATTTGCCCCAACAGGAACACCTTTCCGAGGCTTACATTTAATTTTTTTGTAGAAGGGGCACACCTTTGGAACAGTATTGTGCCTGTTTCATGAAGTCTGCATCCAGTTAAGAACTCGGCATGTGAAACGGTAAAAATTGCATATGTCCTCAACTGTAAGTATGTATCTCAGAGTCATCATGCCCCCCCTTTCTAAGGGGCAATAATGCATATTGTTACTATAGAGTGTCCTACTGTTTCACTATAGACTAGCTCCAGGGTCAGCCCAATACATTTTGGCACCTGAGGCAAACCACAGAATGGTGCCCCTGGTACATGGTGCTACATCAGATAAAAGGGTAGAAAATCAAATCAATCTTACCCGGCAGCTGAACTAGGAATCAAGGACCATTGTGGGGAGAGCAGGGAGAGAAGGGGCTCATTCTGAATCATGCCAGCAGGTGCAGAACTCAGGAGATCCCAGAGTGCAACCCCTGTCATAGGGATAGGAGGAAAGCAGCAGCACCTCCTATTCACTGAGAGACCACTGTAGAAGCAGCATTTGTTGGGCAGGGGCTGCCAAGGAGGTGGCAGATGCTGCAGCATTCCTTGGAGGCCAGATCTGCTGCTCCTGTGGATCTTGCCACCTGAGACAGTCGCCTCATTTTGCCTCATGGGTGGACCGGCCCTGAATTGCCCTTTCCTTAATCTGAGCCTAATAACTATACCTAATTCCAGTTACGGTTCTGAGATAATTCCACTGACAAATTGCTATTCAATGAAGCTTTGTGTTAAATAGCAATATGTAATCTCCTCCATTCTTAACTTCTTAACTGTGACATGGGAGTAAGCATAAGGAAACATGAATATTATCCCAAACATGTACCCCTTCTACCAAAAGGAAAAAAAGTTAGCCCTGTTTTGAAATCTGCTCCTGTTAGTTGAAGATGGAGGAATCACATATGATCGGTTCTGCTTGTAAGTGGGGGAAGGCCCATCAATGACATGTGATCAAAATGGGCCCCTGAATGACTCTGAGCCATGATGGGACCTGCTCCTATTAGTTGGGGGAGGGAAATTAATCACATAGGGAGGTCACAACCTATATTTTTCCTGGGCAGAGAATAGCAGGGCAACCCACACTGGCCTCAAAATGACTGGGAGATTTGAAATGCATGCATTCTAAATCAGGGGTGGGGATCCTTGGCTCACAGGCAGTCATGCTCACCTGCCCATCATCTTATATCTCGTGTCACCAGCTGATGGGCGGGAGGGCAGGGTTTAATTCTGCATTGGCTGTGCTGCACTGTTCCCAACAGAGAATAGAACCATGCAGCCTAGGCAGCAGGATTTAATCTCTGCTCATCAGATGGTGAGTGAAAATTAAAGCTCTTTGCCTTTTCCTTTAAGTGGGCAACAGGAGGTGCAGAGATGGCAGACTTCACCACCACCACCCGGCCGCCGCCACTGCTGCTGCCCACTTGATTACAAGAAATGGCCTCCCTTCTTAAAAGGGAAGGAGAGAGCCTCACAAAGGGGTTTTCAAGCCTCCTTCCACTTCCCTTTTAAGTCCCTGAAATCTTAAAGTTCGCCAAGGACTTGTGCAAATCTCCTTGCGTCCCCTTTAAGACCAACGCACTTAAAAAGGAAGCAGGGAAAGTTGCAAAGGCTTTTGCAAGCCTCCTTCAGTTCCTTTTTCAGCCTACAAGATTGAGAGTTTAAAGGAGAAGTGGGAGGAGGCTTGCAAAAGCCTTGGAGAGTCTTCTCCCCTCCATTCAATATCTGAGCATAAGGGATTTTGACAGGAAGGTGGCCTTGCCCACCTGTCAAATTTTGCCCATGAGGCACATCCTGGAGCCAAAAAGCTTCACCACCCCTGTTATTGAACATGGGAACTAAAACCTAAAGAAGCCTCAGAAGGGCAATGGGCACGTAGAGGGTTTAAACCACACCCCAAAACAATCAATCATTGTGGGGGTGGGACTTGGGGGACCACATACGAGTTATACCACTGGAAGAAAATTAACAGCTAGGAAAGCATGCCTTTATTCCTAGGTGAATACTGTTCTTTCTTTCTTATGTTATCTTCAACAACTTTGTGAAGTAGGTTAGGCTGAGAAAGAAAAACTCACTGGTTCAATGTCATCAGGTGAACTTAATGGGAATTTGAACCTGAGTCTCCCCAGTCCCAGTCCAGTACTCTAACCACTATATCATACTGATTATCTGAGTCCAGTACTCTAACCACTATATCATACTGATTATCTGAGTTTAAGTCATGGTCATGCCACATCATTTCACTGTAGTTTAGTAAAACAGAAATGCTAACTGTAGGTTCAGGTTCCTACTTAGTTCAGCTATAAACAAACAAACGAATAGCTTGCAGATTACTGGGAAAGGTTAAAATCCTGTATTTCCAAGTGAGGAAAAATTAATGGAGAATTTAAAACACCACCGCCACAAAAGCAATATTCCAGATTCTCAATCAGCAACAGCTCACTGAAAGTGCAAAACTCACCCGAAAGCAGCATTGGATCTTTGTCAACAGATTTGCGGACTTGATCTGATTCTCCAGTTAAAGAGCTTTCATCAATCTTAAGGTCATTTCCTTGAATATACACCCCATCAGCAGGTAGAAGGTCACCTATCAGTAAAATCAAGTTAAGGAAAAATAAAGTGGATTTAGTAAGATTACTGTGTGAACCTTCAAAAACATTTCCGTAATCAAAACACTAATCCTCAAGTGTGTCACATTTAATCCTTTTCACACAATACATTTTTCTTCTACAAGGGCAGTCTCTCCTGACCTTCCTTAGACATCGCTATATTGATGAGCTTCTAGTTTGCTTCTTCAGGCAGCGCACAATTTCACTATGGAATCCGCTACCACAAGATGGAGCAATGGTCAACAGCTTGTACAGTTTAAAAGGGAGTGAGACAGATTTGTGGAGGACAAGACTATCATTGGCTACTAGCCATGAAAGCTGTGTACTGCCTCCAGAATCAAGAGGCAGAATGCCTCTGAACACCAGTTGTGGAGAGCACAAGCAGGGGAAGTGTTATTGTGCTTTCCATAGGTATCTGGTTCATCACTGTGAAGGCAGGTTGCTGGACGAGAAGGGCTTTGGGCCTCAGAGCACGATCTACAGTCTCATTGCTCACTGGCTGCATGATGCAGCAGGAACACTGCTGCATCTGTAGACCTGCAATGGTGGAAGATAATGTTGGGAGGCAGTAGGAGGCCAGCAGAACTAGGAAGTGGGATACATCTGTCCAATTCAACCCCTTTCAGCCTGGCACAAGGTTGGGGCTGATATGTACTGCCAGCTCCTTTGTTATTCAGCAAGTCATAAAGGAACGCTGGGTACCAAGTCATATGTTTGCACGTATCCAGTCACATATGCAAGGAAACTTACCATATTTTATCTGTGCAACGTCACCAACTACTATCTCTGCTACTGGGATTTGAATAACTTGTCCACCCCGGACCACAGTAAACTTCTGTTCTTGCTCAATACGACTTTGAAGCCCACGGAATTGCTTCTCTTTGCTCCAGTCATTAAAGGCAGTGACAAGTACCACACAAATAACAGAGAGCAGAATGGCAGCACCTTCGATCCAACCAGCTTCTGCCTCTCCTTCATCTTCAGCTCCTCCTGATGCAGTAGCACAGGCTTGAGAGACAAAACAAAGCAAAAACAGGTCACTTCAAAAAAGAAAGAAAAGAAAAAGGAGGAGGAGCAGCAGCAGCAGCAAATGGTTTCTTAATTACATTTTTAAACAAATGTGATATATATATATCACATTTAATCCATGTTTCTTTTGTAAGTTCTCACACACAAAAAATCAGAACACACATATCGGTGAAATTAGTTTGTGTACTACTGCACAAGCAAAAGCCATTGGCATACAATTGCATAAACAAATACATGGTATTTACTTATGGGAGATACTTATTCAGTAGTCCACTTTTCAACTTGTTGCTTATTTTCTGCATTATTTTTTTTTTGCAAGAGGACACAATAGGTAAAACCAAAACCCAAGATAATTTCCCCCAAAACGTAAAAATAATTATTTTTTCTCAGATGAGAATGTTGATTTTGGCAATGAAAGTTTGCATTAAATAAGGACAAATAGCTTGTGAATCACAGCTATTTCATGTAGAACCTGAACCAATAGATCCAAATTATAAGAAAGGAGATTCAAACTAAACATTAAGAGACTTTCGGATAGTAAGAGCTGTTCGACAGTGGAATGTACTACTTTGGAAGGTGGTGAACTCTCCAACATACAACCCTCTTGTGACTGGACTGTGAGCTATGCAACTTGCAGTGAGGATATTGGTATTTCCTGTTAAAATTTAACTATGGAATTTGAATCCCCTACAGATGCTTATAACTTAAAGGGTTATATATATAACTTCATGCAAGTCATGGGTGTAGTGGAGCAGGAACGGGAGATTCTCAGGACTCTTTTTTCAGAGTAGGAATGGCAATGCCATCTGCTGTAGTGTCAAGATAACTGATCAACCTTCCTTGGTCTGGCAAATGAATAAAATTTAAAATTAGCAGATTAGTACAGAAGATGTGAGAGAGAATGAGGATAATAATCAAGCAGTTCTCGGATGCCTCTTTCTTTTCCTGGAATTCCTGTTAAAGTTAGCAGTTTAAATAGTAGCACACCTTTGCAATATTACTTTGTATTCTCATTAAATGTTAAAATTTGTATTTCAGCTGATGAAGTTCTTTTGTCAAAACAGTGTGTTTTGCAACTTAAACTTATACAGTCAGAAGTAAGCACCACTGAATTGCTGAATGGAGTTTACTCCTCCATGTAGGACTGAGGTCATGCCACATGCTTGATCCCGGGAATGTTTTGAACCTAGGCTTATACACCAACATGCTAACCACCGCGCCATACTTTGCCAGCTCATTGTTCTATGACCAGCAGCTGATCCTAATGAACTGATTATCATGCTATGCTGCCGCTCTTTGGAGGTGATGATAAACACTGCTGTCAGCATATATGTACTTTCCTTTGCGGCTTAGCTATGAGGGCTGTCATGATGAATTTGCATGATATTATCTGCAAGTGTTGCAACACTGATATTTTAGCAAATCCTAAATATGCTGCAAAGCAATGTTAGCATGAATGAATCAAATTGTTCAATGGTGAATATTATGCTATAATTTCAGGGGAGTTAAAGCAAGGATTAATTTCACATTGCATCTGTAAAAATTGCTTTCACGTTAGATTTCACGTTACAGGATCAGCTATGGCTATTCCACTGTGTGTGTGTGTACAAACACAACTATTAAGAATTACTTGACTTTGCCTCGCAGCATGCAGAACAAAAGCACATTCCAAACTGATAATCTACCCCCAAAAGAGGATATTCAAATAAACTGGACAATTGCTTCAAATTGGGAAATCCTTTAAGAAAAGGAAGCTGATCTTACACTTCCCTTCACTGGCTTGGCTTTTAACCTGACCTGCACTTACATGCCTAAGAATAACCGCTGGCAGAGCTCTTTCTCACACACGCTTTACCGCTTGGTGATGTATCAGGTATCATTGACAAAAGTGGCAAAAGAAGTAAGTAGACCACTAGTGCTTGACAAACCTAAAAAGGAATGAAAAATCTTGCTGCGACAGAAAATCAGAAATACTCTGAAGGCAGAAAGTGTCACTATATCTATTATTCTATCTCAACAAAAGATTCCACAGCACATCTAGAATGCACAAGGAAGTCAAAGTGCACAGTACACCAACATGGTACAGCCACTGAACTTCAAACATGCTGAAGCTCAACCCAGTTTCTGCAGCTGCTGCTATGCCCCATCAGTAGCAACAGCACCAAAGGGAGTTACACAGAGAGTAGGAAGAGCAAATATGTGATCCCTTTTGCAAATGGGCTGCTTCAGCACAGGGACAGAACTGAATGAATATTCAAACTGCATCCACTCAGCCCTAATAAAAGCAAGGCCATTAAAACGATTGACTTTCAAAGTATCACACCTTGTGCATACAGCCTCTGCATAAAATCTCTTCTTACTGGACTCATTCTGTACCAGCAGTTACATCAAATACGCTCCGGATACACCAAGCTGGATACTGTCCCTAATTGTGCAGTGACGTGTTAGATCCAAATTTCCTCATATGCAGAGAACAGCATCGTCATTCGTTGCAGAACAGTTAGTCTCACATTCAGGCTTCAGCAGGCAATTGCAGTCAGTAAGGAAGAGTCTTGCAGTGGTTGGTGCATAATGGGCCACAGTTTCTATTTAATTATCTAGGGGCAGATCAACTCAAATTGGTAAGCTAATAGGGAGAGCAGGCTGTCCACTATCTGCACTTTTATCCGCTTTGCATGCCACAGTTGCCCTAGCAGCTTCCTGTTGATGGTGAAACCCCTGTGCTGGGGGAATACAGTTTGGCTGCAGCAGGTCTCGTACCAGGCAGTTTGTGGGCCAGTTCTGCCCTTGTCCCCCTGTTTTCAGGTTCCTTTCTCATCTTGGGGACACTCCCTGTCCATAAGCACAGTGTATTAATCCAGATGCTATCCTATACCCACTTACCAGGAAGTGAGCCCCATTGAACTTGCAATCAGATCCATGGGGGAACTGGCAAGATGTTGATAAATTAAAATTTGGGATAGAATTAAAAGACTGAAACTTAGCTTTCCAAACCTCAGCCATTTCCCACTAACCGGCATTGTATTCCTGTGCAAAACACAAACAAAATGCTCTCTGGCAGGACTGCTGAATTGACTGAGTACATACATGTTGTCCCTGGATGGGGATGGGATTGAACATTAATTGCTTTAAAATATTCTTAACTGCACTAAAACTTTTGACTGGGCAGGATTAATAAACTTTATTAATTTAGCACAAGTTTTTAACTGTTTCCTGATAAAATTTCCTGGGCTGTAGCTGGATGGCACCACATATATCAGCAGGTTGTTGTGATTTCCACAAATCTGTATGAGCAGCAACAATTACACATGCATACAAACAAAGCAGGAAGTAATGAACTTTTCAATGAACACAGATCAGTTTGGGAAGAAAGATGTCTGGATACATGCTCTTCCCTGGAGAGTAGCATGTGATGTGCAAGTCATTACTGCCACAATCCCTACAACATTAATAGTTCACTGAAAAGTGTTGCCTTAGGGGAAGGAGATGACAGCAAGGAAATGAAAGAACAATATAAATTCAGGGGTAGATTTTAAAAATAGAAATTGAAACTTAATGGGCCACCTCCAGAGATAGTTGTGTACAACATTTTTTTCCACTTGAATAGTATCATCACTATAATGAAAAAAGTGGAGGAATGTGGCACATAAGGATCCACCTTCCCCAAGGCACAGCATGATGGATGATCCTTACAGACAATGTGTGGTTCCAAAATAGATTGCACTGGCCAGGCTATGCACAATTTCATATTGCATAATGCATCTGCTTTCCACCAATTGTACCTTCTTAGGAAACACCAGTTGCTGTAACTCTGCACAGAATGATCCAGTTCTGCCAACCCAAACAGTACTTCTGCTCATACAATTCCATGCACAAGCAGCATACACCTGTGACAAGCCTGTACCATGCCCAGTAATGATTAAGTGTCAGCTGCCAGCACAGGACACTAACAGCAGGCTGGTCCCAACATAAGCATGAATTGCACAATGCACCAGCACTCCAAATCTAGTTCCTGATCCTCTGAATTGCTGCCTCAACACTATGACTCAAGGAATTGCATAGGATTGCATATAGAACAGGAAATTAAGCAATTGTTGGCATGTAATCTAGGGAGGATACTTAATGCACAGAAATGTGCATGTGTGCATGTGGACAGCTTTCTGTGTTTGAATTCTGCATGCTAAAAAGTGCTCTGTGTGAGAGAGGGGGAGGGGGAGAAAGGAGAGAGAGAGAGAGAGAGAGAGAGGGAGGAGGAGGAGGGAGGGAGAGCGCTACGTATTACACTTGGAATGAATGCATGGTTCTTTTAACAGATGGCCAACATCATCAGCTTTAACCGGGCCAATCAGCTATTGCAGGCAGAAGTTATTCCAACCACTTTTATTACCATTTATTATTATTTTTTACAGAGGATCATCCTGTAAATTCTCATCACTCTGACCATCTGTCCACTGGGATATCCCTATAGACCAAGAAAATGGGCTGTCATAAACATATCTAGATGTGATCCACCATATGTATTGCTTGATTCCCTATAAAAAGTAGATTCAAGAAAAGCAATGAAAACATTCCTAGCGAGCAATGTATATGTACATGCTGTAACATAGTCTAAAGACGGACTTGCAATAAACCCTCTCTTTTGGTTTCTATACAAAACTGATATGCAAATAAGAAAGAGTAAGTTTTCTAAGGAGATTTATTGCCAACATAAACATTGCAAAGGAATAAAAGTGACAAAACTAAAGATGATCATCAATGCATCTTCATCTCAAGAACAGAAATAAAGTTAAGTGTTTTAAGACTGGGAAAGGGTAGATTTGAGATGTGTAAGGGAGGCATAGACAATGTACAGCTGGGGGGGTAGCAGTAAGAAAAATTAAATCACAACTAAAATATATTTGAAACAGTGTTGAAACACATTGCAAAATATCCTGACTGTCTGCAAAACCTAAAAGGTTGAGATTAATATTATTGGGACCAAAGTTGATTATCACCTTGGAAGGAAAGGAGCTTGGTAAGAGATGGAGAGATGGAAAAGACTTGGTATGCCCCTCCACCCACATTTATTTGGCTTTAAAAGTCTGATCCTTAGCTTAAGGTTAGTGATCACTTAGGTTAATGATAATAATAATAATAATAATAATAATAATAATAATAATAATAATACCCTATATCCGGAGGCCTCTGGGCTGTTCACAGAATAAAATCAAAATATAAAACCACCAAATATATAATCAAAATAAAAACAGCACCCCAATTAACCCCCTCCCAACCCCCAACCCCCCCAAATTTTTAAAGGGCATAGGATGTCAAACAAATCAACCAAAGGCCTGGTTAAAATGGAATGTTTTTGCCTGGCACCTAAATGTGTATAATGAAGGCGCCAGGTGAACTTCCCCAGGGAGAGCATTTCACAGATGGAGAGCCACTGCAGAGAAGGCCCATTCTCATGTTGCCACTCTCTGGACCTCTCGAGGAGGAAGCACATGAAGGAGGGCCCCAAGAGATGATCTTAGGGTCCTGGTAGGTTCATATGGAAAGATGCGGTCCTTGAGGAATTGCGGTCCTGAGCCATTTAAGGCTTTATAGGTCAAAACCAGCACTTTGAATCGGGCCCAGAAACTAATTGGTAGCCAGTGCAGTCGGACCAGGATCGGTGTAATATGCTCAAACTGTCTTGCTCTGGTGAATAACCTGGCCGATGAATTCTGCACTTGCTGAAGTTTCCGAACCATCTTCAGAGGCAGCCCTACGTATAACGCATTGCAGTAATCTAACCCTGAGGTTACCAGAGCATAGACAACAGTAGTTAGGCTATCCCTGACCAGATAGGGGTGTAGCTGGGCCATCAAGCGAAGCTGATGGCACTCTGGGCCACTGAGGCCACCTGAACCTCGAGCGACTGCAAAGGATCCAGGAGTACCCCCAAGCTAGGAACCTGCTCCTTCAGAAGAAGTGTAACCCAGTTGATCTCTCACCCATCTGGTCTAGGGAACCACCCACTAACAATGCCTCAGTCTTATCAGGATTGAGTTTCAGTTTGTTGACTCATCTAGTCCATTACCAAGGCAAGACACTGGTCCAGCACATCCACTGCCTCACTTGCAGATGTAAATGAGGAATAGAGCTGAGTGTCATCAGCATACTGCTGACAGCGCACTCTGAACCTCCAGATATCGCCACCCAGCGGTTTCATGTAGATGTTAAATAACATAGGGGATAGGATTGAACCCCACATTGAAGGTTCCATGGGGCTGAAAAGCATGATATGTGTAATAATAATACTAAGGGATACCTCTCTGTGATGTTAGATCCATAACACATCTGGGGTGAGGTGACACACCACTGAACTTTATCACTGTTCCATGACATTGTCACATGACATTAGGATAGATGTTAAAAACTGAGAGAAAATTAAAGGACTGTACATACGCTAAAATAATTTTCTTCATATTAAATGTTTAGAGGAAATGAAATAAAATTGGCATAATCAAAAGCAGTTAACCCAAGTGAGTATTAGTAAAGAAAATAGTTTTACCTTCATTTTCCTCTCCAGGTGGGTGGTAAAATGAGAGCCCAAGAGATATGATGGCTGCTATTTCCAAAATGATAAGAGTCACATCCTGTAACGCTTCCCAGACTAACTGTAAGAAAGTTTTTGGCTTCTTTGGAGGTATAAAGTTTTTCCCAAAAATTAGCTTTCTTTTATCTAAGTCAGCAGCAGTGCCAGGCAATCCTATAAATAAATGAAACAAAATGGTTTAAAAGTGACTGCCAAGTACGTTAACACCCACATAAACTGCATTTTCAAAGTACAACTTCAGGTTTTCATTACAGCATTTCTGGTTTATTAGACTTCTGCTTCTGCTATTCTCTTTTGGCGAGATCAGATTCTGCTAATGTATTACAGAGAGTTCTATATATTTAGAGAATTGTTTTAGGAATACAGTTCCTTAGCAACTTTTTATTACACTGAAAGAGAAAATTAATTTACTAAAGGGAATTTACAGAGAAGGGTATCATTCATCTAGCGATCACACAGAACATTGGGAAGAACAGAAACAACAACAAAATAGATTAATTGAACAAATTAATGGCATGTAAATAATTCAAAAGTCCCTGTACAAGGCTCAATAGCAAAGGAGAGAAAGCCACAGAAAATAATATTGGATGAAATAACTAAACTCGAACCACATCCAATAGTGGATTTGGGTTAGCAGAAAAAAACTTCTGCAAGGGGAGACACACATTTTTTTATTGACTCTCCATACCAATTGCTGCCCTCCATGCATTATCCTATACTCAGGAACAGCTATTTGAGTAGCAGAGTAGAAATAAGGGATTGGCAAAAATTGTGTACCAAACTTTGTACAAGCGGAAATGTTTTTCACTAGTAATAGCCATCATCAGATGCTAGCTCTTATTTTCTATTTAGCATTGCACACTTTTTAAACCTGGAAAACTGTATGTACTCTCTAGTTTATTAATCCCCACATATTGCATCTTTTAGATGTTATTATTCTTCCATTTACAGATAAGAAACTGATACATTTGCATCAGCTGAGATTCAGTTAATTCATGGCTTAATCTGAACTGGGAATCTGTCCCATAATTAACTATCTTCAGTTCCATTGGTCAGAACATCCTCAGGCTGTGTGAAATGGTATGCTTACAATCTCATACAAAACTAACACTATGTGACATGGGATACTGTGCGGAGCAGAGAAAATATAAAAGGTAGAAATATGAAAGATTTGAGCAGCAATGGGTTCTTAGATGGGGAAGAGCATGTGGCAGGCTTGTATCTGGAAAGGATCCATTTTAGCACCATTTTCTGTTTCTACCACTCTGTACAATAAGACTAGCACTCTTGGAAGTACATACAGTGGTACCTCGGGTTAAGAACTTAATTCGTTCTGGAGGTCCGATCTTAACCTGAGGTACCACTTTAGCTAATGGGGCCTCCCACTGCCACCGCCACACGATTTCTGTTCTCATCCTGAAGCAAAGTTCTTAACCCGAGGTACTATTTCTGGGTTAGTGGGGTCTGTAACCTGAAGCGTCTGTAACCCGAGGTACCACTGTATGAGCTTGGAGTTTGATTTTCTTTTGTATGATTTTTTTTTTTAAAAAAATGCATGTACCATACATACATTCCCTGTATGTAATATTTACAACAACTTCAGAAATGCATAGCGTGTGCACACGTACACACACAACACATTTCACTAGGCCTTTTTCATTTTGTTTTTTGTTTACCTTCCGTATGTCCTACTCCCAGATTCCTTTGAAAACGAGGGAGAAAGAAAGCTGTCCCTTTTTTTTGGCCTTTTAAAAGCTGTGTGTGTCTCCCTTTATCTTCTCTTATGCTTCTACCCACATACACCAGACAACCAATATTTCAATTTAAACAGCAATGGAGGGTGTGGGATAAAGGTAAGGTAGGTTGCTCAACACACAAGGCAAGTGTGGAATCTATTCCAAGCACAAAAGAATGCAAGAGCCCTGCTGGATAAAACCAGTGGGCCCATGGATGGATGGATAGATATAGATAGATAGATATAGATAGATAGATAGATGATAGATAGATAGATAGATAGATAGATAGATAGATAGATGATAGATAGATGATAGATAGATAGATAGATAGATAGATAGATAGATAGATAGATAGATAGATAGATAGATAGATAGATAGATAGATAGATAGATAGATAGATAATAGATAGATAGATGATGATAGATAGATAGATGATTGATAGATAGATGATAGATAGAGATAGATAGATAGATAGATGATAGATAGATAGATATAGATAGATATAGATAGATATAGATAGATGATAGATAGATAGATGATAGATGATAGATAGATGATAGATAGATGATAGATAGATAGATAGATAGATAGATAGATAGATAGATGCTGTGTATTTAGTCCCATCTGCCAAATAAAAATATAGTTTTGTGGACATTATCAGATACTCTATGTAACACACAACAGGGTTTCTATTTTTAATTCTATTTTTAATCTTGTATCACTCATTTGCCAAATAATTTAAAAGGGGGGAGGGGTTCTTTGTACAGTGTGATATACATGCGTGCAAGTATTTTATAAAGGCTTACTAGCATCAGCACAGTTTTATTTTGTAATCTGTTTTGAAATTATGTGGGAGGATGAAATATTATGATTACTTTGAATGATTTAAACTGTTCCCTGCAGTGCTGCATAGTGTACTAAATTCACTCATGTCTTTGATGCGTAAGCCAGGGGCTTCACTGGAGCAATACATTTCAGCATTGCTCTTATTTTTTCAATCTCTCTCTCTCTGTCGCACAGAAGCAAAAGACACAATATAATTAATTATTCTGTCACTCCTTCCAGCTACTGAACAGTTTACTATACAGTGCATTTAAAAAGCCATCAGTTGAATAGTCCTTGATGCTGCATGGAAAACCTGGCATAAACAATTCCACAGCAACAGTTTGGGGTAACACAAACAGCACAATTTCATGAGATGCTAAAGTGTATACTTTAAGGAATTCTGAATTGGTCATTGACTCCTACCCCACCCAAATGGAAATACACTTACAAGACCAGCTGCTAGCAGATACTGCATGTTTTTAAAGCTGTTTAGGAAAATGCCTTCAAAATGATGTGCCTGGATTTCTTTTTCCAAAAGCATAACTGAAGGATTACTCTCTCTCTCTCTCTAGATATATATATATAAACATCTTGAACTATAAGTCTTACACTGAAGGCAATCCAACGCAAAGCACAATGATCTCACCGATCCTACAATGCTGATGTAGTGACCAGAAGAATTCACAGATATTTAATCCAACAACTGAATTAAAAGCCTATTAAAGTGATTGCTAGGCATTAAGATGAAATACAATATAATGGCAAGGGACGTGGGTGGCGCTGTGGTATAAACCACTGAGCCTAGGGCTTGCTGATCGGAAGGTCAGTGGTTCGAATTCCCACGACGGGGTGAGCTCCCATTGCTCAGTCCCAGCTCCTGCCAACCTAGCAGTTCGAAAGCATGTCAAAGTGCAAGTAGATAAATAGGTACCCCTCCGGATGGAAGGTAAACAGCGTTTCCATGCGCTGCTCTGGTTCGCCAGAAGCGGCTTAGTCATGCTGGCCACATGACCTGGAAGCTGTCTGCGGACAAACGGCGGCTCCCTCGGCCTATAGAGTGAATTGAGCGCTGCAACCCCAGAGTTGTCCGCGACTGGACCTAATGGTCAGGGGTCCCTTTACCTTTATAATATAATGGCAGGGGAAAGATGATGAAATCATGGTGGGATCTGAAGTGTTGCTTCATGTCGTGGGTGAGCAACATTTCTTCTGTCAAAGGGCTTCATTCCTCAGGGTAATCTATTGGGAGCTATTTGCCAACAGCAAGTGGAGCCAAAGTCAGCAGCGGGTAAGAACAGAATCAAAACGTATGGGGCCAACATTTTCCCTCCTCTCCTATCATCCTTTCTCTGCTTGTGTCTTTCTCTTTCTGTCACCTCCTTATCTGCACCCCTTTCTTTCTTTCTTTCTTTCTTTCTTTCTTTCTTTCTTTCCCTCCCTGCCTACTTGGGCCTGCCCAGTGGACTGTCAGGATAGGAACACATCTCTCTTGCTAGACATCAGAAGTAAACATCCCAGGGGTGATCTGACTTAGGAAGAATAGAGCGGAACTACTACTTTCCTCAGTTGGGACACTATATTTCCATTGAAGCAGCATAGTGTTTGTTGGTGCTACATCACACTGTTGACTCATATTAAGCTGGTGGTCTACTAAGACCTCTAGATCCATGTCATGTGTACAACTGGCATTTGTGCAGCTGGTTCTTCCTGCCTAAGTGTATAACCTTGCATTTGTCCCTAGTGTAATTCATTTTGTTAGTTTGGGCCCAGTTCTCCAATCGGTTAAATCCTGATTCTGTCTTCTGCGGCATTGGCTAGTTTGCTGCAAATTTGATGAGCAAACCCCCCACCCCAAAAAACACCTTCATCTATGTCACTTATAAAGACGTTGAACAACAACAGGCCCTGGACAGAATCCTATGGCAACCCACTTGTAACTTGAATCCACTTGGTTTACACAAGAAAGGAGATTCTGGCTGAACATCCGGAAGAACTTTCTGACAGTAAGAGCTGTTTGACAGTGGAACAACCTCCCTCAGGAGGTGGTGGACCTCCCTTGGAGGTTTTTAAGAGGAGGTTGGATGGTCATCTGACATGTATGCCTCAGTTCAGATTCCCTGCATCACAGGGGACTAGATGACCCTTGGGATCCCTCTCAATACTACAATTCTATGTATGTGCATTAGGGGGATGAAGCAACCACAAGATTTTCCTTGCTTCTGCCTGTAGCATTTGGAATCCCACCCCCCACCCCTTTCCTCCACATTATAGTGTTGCCTGCATGTATTGGCCAGTATGTCTTTTTCGTTTCTTTGTCAAATTTGTGTGTGTTTTTTTGCCATATTCTTTTTCTCTCCTCCCCTTTTCTCATACGCCACACTCACTTTAGTATTCTCTGCTTTTAATAAGAAAAAACTAAAAACGCACACACCCCAATTAAATATGTAGCTGCAATGCAGCATTCTGTGTCTAATGCTGCTTCTGAGCTGAAGGATACAGAAACGGAGCCTCTTAACCTGAACTGCCATTATTCATTTACAGCCTCAGTGTCACTGAAGGATAAACATTTTTTTAAAATTAATGCTGCCCTC